AAGATATTAAGACTCAGTGCTGAAAGGTAAAACTGAGCGTGGAAAAGTGTGATAGTTAAGGGAAAAACTCTTTTGGTGCCCCGTCATTCATCCTGATTAATGTAAACAATATAATCTAAAGAAATATAAGGCCAGCTAGCTCTTATCTGTGTTTCTAGGTTAAGCACTTTCAACTCTTCACGGAATTAGCAAAATTCACCAACTCATTGGTTTCAACGTGGAGTTGATACAGGCCAGGCATTTTAGTTTACTTGTATCTTTTTGAATGACATGCTGGGACTCCTTTTTTTGGATATAGATCTTTTTGTAATTTAATAATTACCAGCACATAGTCAGAGGCAGTAAACAGGACTGTGCAAAACAAGATGATAATAATTATGCAATTACAACTCACAATTAAAGTGAAAGGGGGTTGATTTGTTCATTTCCAAAGTTATTATTTAGTGTGGTTGATAAGGTTAGGATAATTTAGGTTTTTTAAAAAAAATAACATTTTGATACCTTAGTAGTTTATTAAATGCTTCCTAAAGATTGGGGTGCGTGTGCGATGGCTGAGTGATTAAATGTGCTGAGTTTTGTCAGCTGAAAACTGACAGCGTGGGTTTGAGACCCCAGAACTGTGCAATGGGGTGAGCTTCTGATGCTGATCAAGTCATTATAAAGTGGTATTAACACTTCATGTGATCATGATTCTGACCCTCTGTTAATGCAGCCTAGAACTGTGTTGGCTTTTTTTTGGCAGCAGCACACAGCTGGCTCATCTTGAAGCGATTGTCCACTAGGACTCCGAGGTCCCTCTTGCAGTTACTACTGTTGAGCGAGGTACCACCTCTATTTTGCATTTTGCTTTTCTTGCCTAAATGTAGAACCTTACTGTTTTTTCACAAAATGAAATTCAGTAGTGAAAATTTAAAATTCTACATTTAGGCAAGAAAAACAAAACGCACAGGTATAAGTATAGGAAATGGTACCTCGCTGAATAGTAGTAACTGTGAGAGGGATCTAGGATTGTCCTAGTTGGCAATCATCTAAATTTGAGCCAGCGTGTCATGCCCCTGTTGGAATCTGATTCTAAGGGGGAGGTTGAGCGCCTGACAGGGAGTGAGAGTGTGGCCCTGGTGGCTGTGGAAGAAACTGGGGAAGGGCACAGTTCGGCTGGGCATTCAGAGGAAGAACCAGGGCCACCCTCTCTTCATCCTAGGGCATGCAGGGAGGAATGGAGAAGGGAGAAACGTGAGTTACATGGTTTACGGGGGAGGAAAGGACCCTGATCCCCTTCATTAGCTGCAACTGGAAAAACTGTTTAAAAGGGCAAACTATGCACAGCAAAGTTGTGCATTATTTCTGTTTGTCGAGGCTTATCTGGGTTCTGGCATCCTCCTAACTGTGTGTGTTTCATTATCTTTTGGAGGTCTGCAATTCTTTATACTGCCCTGTCTCATTAATTTCTGCAGCTGTGGTTTGTGTTGGTTTTTACTTATAATCTATATTTACTTTGGGTTCGGACTGAATTTATTCCCTTTAAAGACTGTTCTTGGGAGAGTTTTTTTTCTCCAGCCGATGATAACTGGACATTGGGGGCCAAGTTGGAAGTATTAAAGGGACCTTACCTACTTTTGTGACTTTGTTGCTTTTGTGCCACGCCCTGGGTCATCACACAGCCATGTGCTGTAGCTGCCCAAAAAAAGCCAGCACAGTTCTAAGCTGCATTAACAGTGGGATAGAATCAAGATCACACGAAGTGATGATACCACTTTATAATGCCTCAGTAAGGCCACACTTGGAATACTGCATCCAGTTTTGTTTGCCATGATGTAACAAAGATGTTGTGACTCTGGAAAGAGTGCAGAGAAGAGCAGTAAAGAGGATTAGGGGGCTGGAGGCTGAAACATATAAAGAACAGTTGCCGGAAATGGGTCTGTCTAGTTTGATGAAAAGGAGAACTAGGGTTGACATGATAGCAGTGTTCCAATATGTGAGGGGCTGTCATAAAGAAGAGGGAATTGGGTTATTCTCCAAAGCACCTGCGGGCAGGACAAGAAGCAATGGATGGAAATTAATCAAGGAGAGAAGCAACCTAGAACTAAGGAGGAATTTCCTCCTAGTTAGAACAATTAATTAGTGGAATGACTTGCTTCCAGAAGTTATATGGAATTTTTAAAGAAGAGACTGGACAACCATTTGTCTGAAGTGGTGTAGTGTTTCCTGCCTGAGCAATGGGATGGACTTGAAGACCTCCAAGGTCCCTTCTATTCTATTCTTGCCCCAGCTCTTGCCCATCTAGCAGTTTGAAAGCATACAAAGGCAAATAGATTAATAGGTACCACTTAGGTGGGAACATAACAATGTTCTGTGCATTTCGGTGTATCATCAAACTGGTCACGTGATCATGGAAGTTTCTTCGGACAACACTGGCTCCCTTGATTGTGAAATGGAGATGAGCACCACCCCCTAGGGAGTTGGAAACAACTAGACGAGAAATCTTTAACTTTACTTTTGCCTTTTAGTAAAGAACTCTTCTATCTTTGCTTTCATGGGAATAAATATGTAAACTTTCTTCTACTATTTTACAACGATGCTGTATGTTAAATGTCATGCAGAACTAAATAGTGTGGAGAAGTGACTGCTTTTTTTTAAAAAAAAGAGACTTTTTCATTTGTTCTTTTAAAAAAAAAATCCGTGTTAAAAATTCATCACTTACCTACTAATGTGAGAATGTTAAAATGGATTGGATAAATACTGATCCACACTGATTAATAGAAATTAAAAATTAATTTTTCATGTCTCTCCATTGGCTCTTTGCTATTCATCACAGGTGAATAAGCAGAGAGGTTGATCTTGGCTAAGAAGTTGGATTAAGGAAATTGCAATAAACCCGTCCTTAGATGCGGTAGCGTTCTCTTTACAGATGTAACTTTAAAAGGATCACGACCAAAATTAACGTACTTCACTACGTTTAAATGAATAAACTTTGACCCTAATAAGCTGGACAACAAGCCCAAACTAAAACATATGAAGAACGGTAGCAGGAATTGAGTACATCTAGTCCAGTGGTGGGATTCAAATATGTTTACCACCAGTTCGATAGCCGTGGCTTGGTGGGCACGCTTTGCATAGGTGCACACACTTCATGTGCACGTGAGTGCCAAACGCACACTTTGCGCAGGTGCAAAGGCATTCTAACTCACCTTCTGCAAGCCTGCACGACCCCAGTTGCTTCAGCAGCTGCCATGCGGCATCTTCTGTGCCACGCAAAGCAGCTGTGCTTTAAAAATTAAACCGGGCCAAACCGGTAGTATACCACCACTGGTCTAGTGTAATGAAAAGAAGGAGCAGGGCTGACATGATAGCAATGCTCCAATATCTAACGGGCTACCACAAAGAAGAGAAGGTCAGTCTGTTCTGCAAAGCACCTGAAGGCAGGACAAGAAGCAATAGAAGGAAACTAATCAAAGAGAGGTTCAGTCTAGAACTAAAGAGAGTTTTTCTGACAGTTCAAACAATTAATAGAGCCTCGGTGGTGCAGTGGTTAGAGTGCAGTACTGCAGGCCACTTCTGCTGACTATCGGCTGCCTGCAAATCGGCAGTTCGAATCCCACCAGGCTCAAGGTTGACTCAGCCTTCCATCCTTCTGGGGTGGGTATAATGAGGACCCAGACTTTTCAGGGCAATATGCTGACTCCGTAAAACTGCTTAGAGAGCGCTGTGAAGCACTATAAAGTGGTATATAAGTCTAAGTGCTATTGTTAAGCGCTGTTGTTAATCAGTGGAACAGTTTGCCTTCAGAAATTGTGGGTGCTCTATCCCTGTGTATCTATCCCATCTCTTGCCTGAGCAGAGGGTTGGATTAGAAGACGTCCAAGATTTCTTCCAACTCTGTTATCCTGTTAAGCAGGCACAGAGAGAGTGCCTTCCTTTTTCCATCTTAAGTAGATTTCATTGGAAATTTTCCATGGTGATTTTCCACACTGCAAGATAAATATATATAGAGAGATCTCTCATAGTTTTGGAGGAAGGTGATACACATACCCACACGCTCCCATAAATACCTCTGCTCTTTCCTTTAGAAAAAGCTATGCCTGAATCCATTTCTCTGCTTGTTTGCTGATAGCCCAGATACCTTCTGTAAGAAAGCAAGAGATCAAAGCCATGGACTTCACTGGGCCTTGACGTTCAGGCACTTTACCGGCCAGCTATTTTGCTTTGAAAATGCAGAGAGCCTGGAGACAGATTTATTATATTTCCACGCAGGTTCCGTGTTCTATTTTATCACACAGTCTGCTAAGTGAAAGGGATTATAAAGCTCTCATTACTTGTATCTGTTGAAGAGCAGAGATTTACTGAGCATCCCTTTGATGTAAACATGGCATCCAAAGCAAAACTTTGGAGCAGGAAAAGGACTTTCTGTTGCAGAATGCAAATTGGATAAGCACTGATAAAAACCTAGGCATTTTTAGAGTAACCCATACCCATTTCAGATGGAAGAGGTAGGAGAATTCATGCTTGAAATAATATATCCACGTAATTCCAGCTGCCTGCTTAAAGATCTAAGGGATTTGATAGCATGATGGGCTTAGCAAAATAATATAAAACTGAAATTAGCCCTGATTTTTAGTAATTAGTCCTCTCAAAAATAAAAGTATCAAGGCTCTTTAAAAAGCAAACAAACCAGGTTTTTAACCCAGATGGGGAAATTCCCCAGTTTTCAGTTCCAAAGGCTAACTCAGTCATTCACATTTTGAGTCACGGTCTCCAATTCATAAATATTTCCAGCTCAAGATGCAGTGACAGCTAACCACTGCTCAAATTGATGATATAAATTAATTTCCACTTTAGATATCACATTCAATATGAAAAAAAACGGGGATACCACTGGGATTGTCCGCACCCTTTGGTAAACTAAATAAATGAATCATTTTGGAGTCAGAATAACAAGACACAGACTTTGACTGTCTGGGGACAGAGATGTATTGCAGCGATAGGCTCCATCCCAAATACAAATGCGTATGTTTTGATGTGTGAAATAACTCTGCAGGCATGCAGAAGGTCTTTAGAAATATAATATGTATAGAATTTGAGCAGTGCCTATTATTCTGTATTTGTCTTCCTAATTGGTTCATCTATCAGTGAAAATAGTTGTACATATCTACCCCCAAAATAACTTCATACCATCGGAAATCTGACTTTTATATTTATTTTCTTTTCATATTCTGAAAACAAAGGGCATTGGGTTCTAGTTGCTTATACTGAAGAGTATCACTATATAGTCAAAGCAGACACGATTTGTAATGAACCATTTTGCCAATTGATCTATACTTTGTTTTGACTTTTGTAGAACTTGGTCTCCCAAGAAGAGGATGTTATTTGGTCTTTGGATTTATGTACAAAGAGAAGTATCGGCGAATGACTGAAGGTTAGTGCAACATCTTTCTTTCCAAGTATTTTCCACCTTTCTATATTGCCATAGTTTTACTTTTCTTCCCAAATTTTTACAAAAGAAGAAGAAGAAGAAGACTGCAATGTCTTTATTTCCAAGCATCTGAGAGATTATTTTTACTTGCCCAAGTATTTGGGGAAGACCCAGATCTCTTGTTAGAATGCCTACAGAAAAGTCTTCCTTTTAATACGGAAGGTTCCTCTCTAAAGGAAGCTTTAATATGAATTTAATATGAATTTAAAATTAGAAGAATTTTTTAAAAATCCTCTAAAGCAGGGGTCTCCAACCTTGGCAACTTTAAGACTTGTGGACTTCAACTCCCAGAGTTGGGAGGTTGGAGACCCCTGCTCTAAAGGATTAATCATCTTCATCAACCAAGATGATTAAAAGCCTGGAGACTAAAACATATGAAGAACAGTTTCAAGAATTGGATATGGCTAGTCTAGAGAAAAGAAGGGCTGGGGGGATGTGATAAAAATATCCCAGTAGTTGAGAGGCTCCCACAAAGAAGAGGGGGTCAACTTATTTTCCAAAGCACCTGAAGGCAGGACAAGAAACAATGGATGGAAACTGAACAAGGAGAGAAGCAACCCGGAATTAAGGAGAAAATTAACCAGTGGTGTTAATTGTTGGCATTCAGAAGTTGTGGGTGCTTCATCACTAGAGGTTTTTAATAAGAGATTGGAGAGCCCCTTGTCTGAAATGGTTTAGGATCTCCTGTTTGAGCAAGGGGGTTAAACTAGAGGGCCCCCAAGGTCCCTTCCAGCTTTATTCTGAATAAATTAAAGTCTACTTTTCATCTCCTACTTTTATAACCTGGCACCAGACATCTTCATGACTTGGTATCTGCCCAGATTCATATCCATGGATAAATCAGTGACAGGATCTAATGATCTGGTACTGCTTGCTCATCAGAGGCAGTGAATATGAAAATAGCAATCATGATAATAGGGGCAGCTTTCTTAGTCTACTTACTCATTGTCTGAAGATAAACAGCTGAGCTCCATGAAACCAAACCATAGTGATAAAATGAAGATACACTCACTGATGGAGAGAAGACTCCTGAAGACAACCTGAAATTGGTGTTATTTATCTCCTTATTGCATATATTTTAAATTACATATAGTTGATCATTTCATTAACTTATTGAGCTCTCACTACCTTTGATTACTCTTGGAATAGTTAGGTGGAACTCAGAACTGAAATACTTGAACTATCAAAAACACTTGCAATGCAAAACATCACCCAAGCAGCTTCCAGATAAAGAATGAAATCTCATAGAAAGAGCTTCTCATACTACCAATATTTAATGTGCTTGCTGTTAAAATAAAAAATTGGCAGAAGCTAGTCCCTTAATTGCTTTTCTTTGTCCATAGAAGTTAATATTCTGTCTTTTCCTCATTTCCACTGGAGTACAAAGAGAGAGAAATTATACATAAAATTCAAAAAAAAAAAAAGCAATAACTGGTGGCTTCAAAACTGTTTTTAAAGCTTCTTCCTTACTTTTAGAAATTCACAGCATGCTAAAAGTAGCTTGTCTTTCTGATAACCAGCATTGCTTTTGATCTATCCATACTTCATCCAGCCATAAAGTTGCTAAGGTATAAAAAAAATGTTGCTGACAAAGAAGCTACCAACAGTTTCAAGGCTAGGAGAAACATTATACATTGCTCAAAAAAATAAAGGGAACGCAAAAATAAGACATCCTAGATCTGAATTAATGAAATATTCTTATTAAATACTTCATTCATTACATAGTTCAATGTGCTGACAACAAAATCACACAAAAATTATCAATGGAAATCAAATTTAGCAACCCATGGAGGTCTGGATTTAGAGTTACACTCAAAATTAAAGTGGAAAAAAACACTACAGGCTGATCCAACTTGGATGTAATGTCCGTAAAACAAGTCAAAATGAGGCTTAGTAGTGTGTGTGGCCTCCACGTGCTTGTATGACCTCCCTACAATGCCTGGGCATGCTCCTGATGAGGTAGCGGATGGTCTCCTGAGGGATCTCCTCCCACACATGGACTAAAGCAACTCCCAACTCCTGGACAGACTGTGGTGCAACGTGGCGTTGGTGGATGGAGCGAGACATGATGTCCCAGATTTGCTCAATTGGATTCAGGTCTGGGGAATGGGCAGGCCAGTCCACAGCATCAATGCCTTCGTCTTGCAGGAACTGCTGACACGCTCCAGCCACATGAGGTCTAGCATTGTCTTGCATTAGGAGGAACCCAGGGCCAACCACGCCAGCATATGGTCTCACAAGGAGTCTGAGGATCTCATCTCGGTACCTAATGACAGTCAGGCTACCTCTGGTGAGCACATGGAGGGCTGTGCGGCCCCCTAAAGAAATGCCATCCCACACCATTACTGACCCACTGCCAAACCGGTCATGCTGGAGGATGTTGCAAGCAGCAGAACGTTCTCCACGGCGTCTCCAGACCCTATCACGTCTGTCACATGTGCTCAGTGTGAACCTGCTTTCATCTGTGAAGAGCACAGGGCCCCAGTGGCGAATTTGCCAATCTTGGTATTCTCTGGGAAATGCCAAACATCTTGCACGGTGTTGGGCTGTAAGCACAACCCCCACCTGTGGACGTTGGGCCCTCATACCACCCTCATGGAGTCTGTTTCTGACCGTTTGAGTAGCCACATGCACATTTGTTGCCCGCTGGAGGTCATTTTGCAGGGCTCTGGCAGTGCTCCTCCTGTCCCTCCTTGCACAAAGGCGGAGTAGCGGTCCTGATGCTGGGTTGTTGTCCTCCTATGGCCTCCTCCACATCTCCTGGTAACGCCTCCATGCTCTGGACACTATGCTGACAGACATAGCAAACTTTCTTGCCACAGCTCGCATTGATGTGCCATCCTGGATGAGTTGCACTACCTGAGCCACTTGTGTGGGTTGTAGACACCATCTCATGCTACCACTAGAGTGAAAGCACCGCCAGCATTCAAAAGTGACCAAACCATCAGCCAGAAAGCATAGAAACAAAAAGTAGTCTGTGTTCACCACCTGCAGAACCACTCCTTTATTGGGGATGTCTTGCTAACTGCCTATGCTTTCCACCTGTTGTCTATTCCATTTGCACAACAGCATGTGAAATTGATTGTCAATCAATGTTGTTGCCTAAGTAGACAGTTTCATTTCACGGAAGTGTGATTAACTTGGAGTTACATTGTGTTGTTTAAGTGTTCCCTTTATTTTTTTGAGCAGTGTAGTTGCATAGAAAAAGTGCACCCTAAGGTCATTAAGGGAACATTCCACCAGAAAAGGTGGAAGAAAACAGCCTAGAGTTTAAACCATAGAATATAATTCTAAAGTATTTGATTTCTGCGTATTGCACTGGGCAAGTCTTAGTGTGTATAGTTTTATTCTTGCCTGCAATAAAAAGTCTAATATAGCTAAGTCACGTTTGTTTTGGCCAAGTAAATCAATTCATGAATAATGAACTAAGTATAAAGAAAACCAAGAATGACAGCAAAGTCTGATGTGAACCCTGACAGTTAGGGGCTCTGCTATAATGATGTAGCACACCCACAGTGATGAGATTAAAAATAAAAATACTACCGGTTCTGTGGGTATGGCTTGGTGGGTGTGGTGTGGCTTGGTGACGTGGCAGGGGAAGGATACTGCAAAATCCCATTTCCCCCCCACCCACTAATCCGCTTTCCAGCTCCGTTCTCCTGTGCAGGACAACAAAAGAAGACCCAGCCAATCACCTAAGACTTGGGAGGCAGAGAATAGATGGGGGTGGGGCCAGTCAGAAGCGGTATCTGCTGGTTCTCCGAACTACTCAAAATTTCCGCTATCAGTTCTCCAGAACTGAATACCACCTCTGCATCCCCGGCATTATGAATCAATCCAAACATCTGGAGAAATTATATTTATTCTTTGCAACTTTCTCTGGAAATATTTGCAATAGAACAAATAGGGTGCCCGTCACCTATAGAAACCTTTACATTAGTAGATTTTTTTTTGGTGGGGGATGATGTTGTTTTTTTATAACAGTATGCTTTGATTGATGTGCTCAAATAAAAACTTATGGTCTTCTCCTATATTACTTACATGAATGGGAAAATGTGTATAGCAAAGGGCAGTGAACTGGACAAACTGGCCTTTGCCCACAACATCATGTAATTCTTGCTGGTTCTATTGTTTCCCAGTCAATTCAAGACTCTGAGGCCTTGGTTTCCTCAAAAATCCTGTTTATTAGGGACATCATATTGGCATGGTCAGAGGTGAAACCAACACTGAATGACTCCTACATTTTTGGTATAATTAAAGAATATATACTGGCCAACCCCCTTGTGTCACATGTTACATTAGCCGATCAAGCTAGTGATGAACTTCTCAGCAATCCCTCCCTGCCGTTGCTAAGACACGTTGATCTGACCTTGGTTCTCAGGAGCCTTATCAGTGTTATGTCTGGCAATTTGGAGGAAAACATTGTACATTCCCACCTTCCTCCTGCATAAGTATGGCAACTAAAAAAGCGAAGCAAGAAAAACATGACTTCAGCTAGAGTCGTTTTGAGAGTTGACACATGCATGCACATAGATAAGAGCAGGGGTAGGATTCAAATTTTTTAACAACCAGTTCTGTGGGCATGGCTAGGTGGGTGTGGCCATGTGACTGGGTGGGTGTGGCTTCTTCTTTGTTTGCAGCAAACCCCCTCCTCCATTTTTTTTGGCCTCCTGGGCCTCAGGGAAGCCTCCGGGGGGTGGGGGTTGCTCCCAGGAAGCTTCCCTGGGACCCAGGAAGCAAAAGGAGTGCAGGGGGCTGTGCAGCACTCCACCGCACTCCATTTTTTTTTTTTGCCTCTTGTGCCTCAGGGAAGCCTCCTGGGCGAAGCAGTAAGACAGCGAGGGGGATCCCAGCACAGCTGATCATCGGAACAGCCGATCATCAGGAGGGGAAAAAGAGAGAAATGCCTTAAGGAGTGACTGGGCAGGGGACAATGGAGTCAG